TTCAACATATATATGAAGCAGCAATTATACATCCGATATTCAAGCTTCAATGGCCTTGGATAAAGCTTCTACAAAATGAACCTTTAAAGAATAAACTTATAGCTCTTTTGAAAAAAGGCATTGAAACCCCAAGAATTGATAATGAAAGAACTGTCAATTCCGAGATATCTTTTTTTTTTGACGAGGAAGAAGAGGACAGATTGGAGGATGATAACATAGCTCAATTTTTTGAAACAATGGATAAAACATTAAATGTTTTTAATAAATTCCCCCTTTTAAAAGAATTGTTTATCAAGTATAACACCGCAATCCCTTCATCTGCCCCTGTTGAGCGAGTTTTTAGTATAGCTAACGCTGTATTAACTGCCAAGCGTTCATGCCTATCAGATGAAAATTTTGAAAAGCAATTATTATTAAAAATTAATAAGAAAAATTTTTTATAAATTTATTTTTTTATCGCTCTATTATATCGTATTTATAATTATATTATCAAAATAATACTATTATTTTTTATCATGGCTAATATATTGTGTTGAAAAATATAAGGCATTTATTTATATTAAATTAAATTTAAAAAAAAATTTATCATAAAATTTTGAACGATGAACGCGTTCATGAACTTGAACGATGAACGCGTTCATGAACTTGAACGATGAACTTGAACGCGTTCCTTTTTTTGAATTTGAACGTGTTCGATTTTTTTAAAGATGTTTACAGCACTAAAAATAACTCATTTTTAAATATATTATTTGAACCTATAAGTAATATATTTTCTAATATAAATGGATTCCTATTTGTTTGTTGTGACGATGACACAAATTTTAGACCCGAAAGAGCCCTCAGAAACTTGTGTTTCGGGAACCGCCAGTACTATAAGAGCAAGTTTATATAATTCTGGATATTCAAATTATTTCCATTTCTAAAATATAAAAACTGAACCGGTTTAACCGTTTTTATAAAGGATCTTTTTACTCCTTCAAAAAATAATTATATCGGTTACGGTTATGGTTCAGATATTTATAACGGTTTATAATGGTTTAACAATTCGTTACGGTTTACTCTGGGTCCCTGATAAAAAAAATCATCATGCATTTAAAGAATTGTATCAATGCTGCTCAGCAGCCATCATCATTAGGATACCAACGGCTTCTTGTGTGACCTCTCTCTCTACAATAAAGAGAGTTCTATCGAGCACTAGAGTGTCGATGAAATATCAACGCAAGCTGTTATAATTTAAAAAATAAAATTATTGTATTATATTATAGTATTATTTTGTATTCATATTATAGTATTATTTTATATTCATATTACCAGAGTTGTTAAAAGATACTTTTTAAATGGATCTAGATACAGAGAGCTTTTAAATATCTTGATACAGATACAATTTAAAATGTATCTAGGTACAGATATAATTTAAAATGTATCTAGGTACAGATACATTTTTTTTATACTCTTAGATAAGGTTTGAATAAACCTAAATTAGGATTCTATTGTGAAAATTCATGAAATGATCTAAAATATTTATTGACTCGATATCACATTTATCAAAATATAACTAAAATAATGATTTTTAGATTTTAATATAATATATGATTAATATAAAAATTATTTATAATCATTTAATCATATATTGGTCATTAAGACATCCTTGTTTATCTGTAAAGACATTCTTAGCTATATTAAAAAGTCTTTCAACAGGGGCGCTGGAAGGGATTGTGGTGTTATATTTAATGAATAACATTTTTATATCAGGATATTGTTTAAAAATACTAAAATCTCGGCATTCATTTTTGAAAAAACTATTTAAAATTTGTTGATTATCAGAATTTAAATCATTAACAATCATATCTCCTGCTGTGGGATACTGAAAAAAATCGGATTTTAAATTATTGTTTTTTTTCACAGGTTAATTTGCACTCATTTGAAGACTTTGATAATTCCTCAACTAATCTTTGTATTAATTGTTTTTTTAATTAAAATTTTCATCAATTTGTAACCATGTTTAATCTAGTTTAAAAAGAGGATGAAGCATAGTTGCCAAATTATTTTCATCTTCAAAAATTGTCCCAATAAACCTAGAATTATTAAATATTGATTAATTTATTATTAACTTACCTATCTTCAATCATTTTAAGTAAGGCATTTAAGAGTGGTAAACAAAATTTTAGGTTCATTTGTTTAAAATTTTTCAATTTAATAATGAGCTGGGAAATAGTTGCATAGTAATAAGCTGTGAACATATATTTATCTCTCTGCAGGATATCAAGTTAGCTTGCTACCGGCTTCATTAACTAATTTAAAATAATGCTGTATATATAAATTTTATTTATAACTTACTAAACAATATTCATGAATAAAATCACATTCATTAGATAAAAATCTAGATAGTTTTATTCCATTGCAAATCTTGTCTAATTTTTCAAATTTAAAATTAATAATTTCTGACATTAATTGTAAAGAATATTAAATATTATAATAAAAATTATAGTTTACCCTCTGATATTGTTAACACTGCAAGGCTCTATTTGCATCTACAGTGGCAACAAGATTCAATGTGTGACTGGCACAACATTGATGATTAGGTAAAATATATTACAAGCCAACGCTACATTTTTCCTTTCCAAACTTGTTGGATCTATATAGTGTGCAGTGACTCCTATGTAAGAACTAAAAATTAACATTTCTTAAAACTGCTCAAATAATTTGTTTGTAATTAAATTATTATACAAATTTAAATGTTAGCTATACCGGCGATAGGCACTCCAACAATCTGCTGTTGTACATATTAACGATGGTTCTAATGATTTCTTTCTTTTCATTCTCATCTTTGGGAGATTTTAGCAACCACTGTCTGTCGGCAAATATATTTTTTTGTGGAGCTAATGTTTTGATCATTTTTATAAATGAAGGTTTTTCAACAATTGAAAATGGCTGAATGTTATCTATAATAAAATCAGTTATTAAATCATCTAAAGTGGTTTGGGTTAAAGTCTGAGGTCTCTTGGAAAAAAAATCAATGGACAATGAGCCTAGTCCAATATTTTCTTTAATAGATTTTTTCTCCTTCTCCTTCCCCTTTTTTATTTGGTTTAAGAGTGTTTGATGTTTTCTCTTAAAATTTAAACATTTATTTAGTATCTATACCTTTAAATGTTTTACAAAGTTGCAAGTTGAGGTAATGCTAACTGAAATTTGCATATTTTTTGGTAGACATGGCAAACATTTTACTAACAGAGATTTGTTTTTATTTTGAGATATTATTTTAAAATATGGTCTATAAATTAGCCATGGAAGAATGTCGTCATTTTCGTCATCAATATTAATCTTAAAAATTAATATAATAGAATAAAATAAAATACCAATTTCATTGCAATTAAAAATGGCAAATTCCTCGAGATGGATTGTAATATCAGAATTTGCTTGTTATTGATAACTCGGACATAATATTTAATTAATATTTATATATTCATTTTATATATAAGTTTTAATATTTTACATATATATATAATTTTTTAATATATATTAATATTAAGTTATTTGCTCATATGAAATAAAATAAATTTTACATTCAATTTTTATTCATAATATAAAAAAGCGTTAAATAGAAGTATATCAAAATGTATCTTAAAAAGTATCTAAACAGATACCTCTAAAATAATATCTAGATACATACAGATACTTTAATAAAAAATCTATCCAGATACAGATACCACATTTTTATATCTAGTATCTAGATACTTTAACAGCTCTGCATATTACATTAAAAAATTTTCATGTCCACATTCAAACACGACGTTTTTTCAAAACGTTTTCCGAGGCACTTTTCGCAATTTTTTTTACTTCTAAACAAGCAACAATTTATATTAAACAGCTGATTTTTTATGCAAATGAATCTTATAACAAGATATTTTATTTTGAGACATTATAAAAAAAAATGAAAAGTAAGTATAATCTATAAAGAAAAGATCTGTACTAAATTAATCCCAATTCTTTTACTATCTTGGACTATCCAGGAATGTTTTCTATTACATACTTAATAAAATTGAAAATAAAATGTGCATTGAATGCACATTTGGTATAGCTACTGCTAAATTTGCCATTCTTTCTAAAGCTATAGCGTGCTCAGTTAAAAATGCTGATAAAATAATTTGCGCAATTATTCTATTACATAATATTATTATTGATTATGATAAAATTGAATACACACCTAATACTATACCTATTCCTGAAAATTTGGGGCCCAGTAGAACTTTAAATGCATCAAGTATTAATTCAAGAGCAATGAGAGATTTATTTTATTAAAGACTATTTTAATTCTTAAATTTATGTATAACTTAACATTTTATATCATTATATATTAAATAAATATATCTATTTGGTATGTGTATAAAAATCTTTATTTTAACTTGAGCTTATATATAAAACTATTTAATTTCATCAACATTTTGTATTAATAAGCATCATATTCTATCTGGATCATTGTCAATTTCCAACATTTTATCAAAATATTTTTTCATAGGATCTTTTTTTACCCTAATCCTTTTTACAGGTCTTGGCCTAATGGGTTATGATGTATGCTTGTAAACAAAAGATCCCAGGTTCAATCCTGGGAAGGAACATAAATATTTTCAGGTTTTTCTTCGATGACTGATGTGTAAAGACATATGGTAAGATAAATTTAGGAGCTTAGAGATGACACCCCGGTCACCAACAAGCCTGGACAGTTGGGTGCTAAGGATACTTGTCCAATAAACAAAAATGAAGGAAACAAACAAAAATAGGAGTAGGAAAGTTAGGGCGTTCCCCCCAAGCGATGCTCAAGCTGTAGACCTCCTTCCTGTGAAAAGTAAAATAAAGGTCAAAGCAAAGAAAACAAGGTTAGCAAGTTTGATTATTGGGACACTTAAAGATAAGACGAGAGAATTGGCATCAATGTTGAACAAGAAAAAAGTTGATATAGGTGCATACAGGAGAGGAAATGTAAAGGTCAGAAGACTTTAATGATTGGAGATTGGATTAAATTGTACTATATTGGAATTGTTAGCAATAGGAAGGATGGCATTATCCTCGGTCATGATCTAACCACCTCAGTGATAGAAGTTAATAGGATCTCTGATAGACTAATGAAGATAAAACTCTGCATTGGTCAATCAATACTAAACATCCTTTCAGTATATGCTCCTCAAACGGGTTGCAAAGAAGAGGAGAAAGATGACTTTAGAGATATCCTTGATGAAGCTGTAATGGAAATCCCTAAGGATGACCTAGTCATAATAGGTGGTGACTTAAATACTCATATGAGAAAAGCAAGAGATAGCTACAAAAGGCATCATGGTGGTTTTGGATATGGAGAAAGAAATGATGAAGGAGAGCATGTACTGAAATTTTCGCAAGCCTTCTACCTTGCCTTAACCAACACTTACTATAGAAAAAAAGACAGTCATTTAATAACATATGAAAGTGGTACAAGGAAAATCCAGATAGATTACATGCTTATCTCTCGCAGAAGATTAAAAGATGTAATAGACTGCAAAGTCATCCCAGGAGAAGATATTGCCGCACAACAAAAGTTATTAGTCATGTATTTACACCTCACAAATAAATCCACTCACAAAAAGATAAAATTGAAACCAGGCATCAAAAAAGGTAAATTAAAAACAATGACAGATGCCCTTGCAATCAATGCAAACATTGAAACAATAGATTCCTCACAAGTCAGTGAAAAAATGTGGACAGATCTTTCATCCCGATTAATAGACACTGCCAAATCGACATTAGGCTTGACAAGGGGAGGTAACAAATCATACAAAGAACTATGGTGGTGGAATGAAGAGGTACAAACCACTATACAGGAGAAAAAAGCCCTTTAAAAAATAGGTACAAATTCAAAAAACACAGATGACAGGACAAAATACAAAAAATCCAAAAGAATATAGCTACAGAGGCGGTGGCTAGGGCCAAAGGAATGGCATACGATGACATGTACGAAGAACTACATACAAAAGAGGGGCAAAATAAAGTATACAGATTAGCCATACAGCGAGAAAAGAATTCTAGAGATATAAATGGAGCTCCGAAAGTAATCAAAAATAAAGATGGGAAATTGATAAAAAGAAAAAGAAACAATGAATAGATGGAAAAAATATTTTCAGGAGCTTCTCAACTTTAATCCCCACATACTACAGCTAGTTGAACACTCCCCATGTCACCTTGTACAACCAATAACAGAACAAGAAATAATCACATGCATCAAGCATATGAAAAACAACAAAGCTAGAGGTCTAGATGATATCCAATAGAAAGCCTTAAAGCACTAGGAGATGATGTATTACATCTCCTCACTAATCTATACAATAAAACTGGGAAAATGAAGAGATTCCTCAAAAATGGAGGCTGAGCTATTTAATTCCAATCTTCAAAAATAAAGGGGATCCAACTCGAAATTACAGGGGCATAAAACTAATGTCACACTGTCTTAAACTCTAAGAAAAAATAATAGAAAAAGTCTAGAGACATAATCGAAATAGGAGAGACTCAATTTGGCTTTATGCCTGGAAGATCAACAACTGATGCAATCTACGCAATTAGACAAATAAGTGAAAAATGGAGGGAAAAGAACAAAAAGCTACACATGGTCTTTCTCGATCTAAAAATAGCATTCGATAGAATCCCAAGAAAACTTATCTGGTGGGCGCTACGCCACAAAAAGGTTCCCGAAAAATATATAAGAATAATACAGGATATGTATATGGGTCATAAAACAATGGTCCGTAGCACAACAGGTACTTCAGCAGGCTTCACAATAACCGAAGGAGTTCATAGGGTCGGCTCTCAGCTCACTTTTCTTCATTACAGTAATAGATGTATTATCACAGTCTATACCTCAAACAGTCCCGTGGAATATGATATTTGCAGATGATATTGTGATACTTGCCGAATCCATGAAATGAAAGAAAGATTAGTGAGTTGGATAAGTATACTAGAAATGCACGGACTAAAAGTAAATAGAAAAAAGACGGAGTATATGGTGATAGGAAAAGATGAAACAGAGAGCATTGATATAAATGAATGGCAGATATCGGCAATTAAAAGCTGGGCTCCACTATACAAACAATTGGCACATTAGAGAAAGAGATAAAGAGTAAAATTAATCAAGGGTGGTTAAAGTGAAGATCTTTATCTGGAGTGCTCTTCGACAAAGGAATCAAATGAAGGTAAAAATTTACAATTCCATAGTACAACCAATTATTCTATATAGTTCGGAAACATGGCCAACCAAAGATTCAGACGAGAGAAGTCTACAAACTATGGAGATGAGAATGCTGAGGATGATTGCTAGGTTAACAAATAAGGATAAAGTGCTCAGTACAAAAATACTAGGAAGTTTAAAGGTAGTGCCCATTAAGACTAAGATAATAATAAACAGACTTAGGTTGTATGGGCACATAATGAGAAGACCTATGAACTATTGGAAGTGATGGGCAAACGTAATAGAGGAACACCACAACTTCAATTGGGGCCATAAAGTTATAGCCAATATAAAGAAGTATAAGTTAGATAAAAGAGATAGAATGAATAACATAAAGTGGAGAGAGATATTGAAGGAGCTTACCACCAGAAAAGGTGAAAGCTAAAGAGAAAAAAAATATTCTCATTATTATCTGTTTTTTTCTGGGTGTAGTGGAGGTAGTAAGAAATGATAAAGAATCATACCATTTCCATGGAGTGCTAGATTTAGCAGCATCCCCTCAATGTATTTCTTCTCTCTTTCTCTTTTCCTTTAAAAAGGAATCTCTCAAATTATTCCATTTTAATTTGCATACACTTGTGGGTGAATAAGCCTGGTAAATAATATATAGGATAAAGATAAATAATTTTACTTAAATAAGGATTTATGTTGTTTTGATTTATTAAAAGAAATATTAATTATTTTATATATTATTAATTATTAAAATTCATATTCCATATTAAAGCTTATTAATATATAGTATTTAATTAAAAAGTAGTCAACATTAGGTGATTCAATGTAAAGTCTTGTTATACTTTTTAGCACATAATGTCCAAAGTTCGTCGACTAATAATCTATTAGAATAATTATCATTACATTGGTTCCATAAATCGTCGTGATCCTCTACAAAATTTATCAAATCAGATACAAAATTTCCCCTAAGATCATTTCATTTATTGAATATTAATATATAAATAATAACTTGTCCACTTCAATCGTATCAGACGCCATTTAATTTAAAAAAAATCAAGCTAGTTTGTTATTAAAATAAACGCAAAATGGTATGCATTTAAAAAACGTTTTGTTTGGAAGCACACAACTATTAAGCTGAATTTGTTATTTATTGCTTTGAAAAAAAACGTCGTGTTTGGAAGTCGCCTATGAATATTATTTATTTTATTTTAAAAAAATAGTGGGTACCTCAAGTAAGCAGCTGGCCCCCCTAGCTGAATTTTCCTGCCTGGCTACGGCCCTGATTAAATCATTTACTGTTATAATAATTATATAGCAGACACGTCAAATCCAAATAATTATACAACTTTTTTTTATTTAGTTAGAAAATAAATAAATTCTATCGTAAAAATAGAGTTTATTAAATGTATAACAAATTATAAAAAATATATAAAATAATATAAATTTAAATTGAGAATATATATTCAATATAAAAATGAATGGATATCAAATATTGTATATATATGTTGTGTTTAATACCTAATCTCGTTGGGACGTATTTTTTACTTTAAAAAAATCTCTTATAATATAATCTCCCACCAAAGCCTCCCCACATTGTTTGTCATATAATCTTATTTTTATTTTATACCTTTGGTATTATTAAAGAGATAAAAGAGTGTTATTATAAGTTTTCTTTTTTTTCCCACTCCAAACAGTATTATTCTTTATTCTGTTTTACCCTAATTGTAATTTATAGACAACTTGTTTTTATATTTTATTCTCTTGAAACTGTTCCTAGCCAGTTTCAAGGATGGCCAATACATGAAAAAAATATTATAAAAATACGTCGATGGATTTTTTTTTTGTTTTGTAATTTTTTTAGTATATAAGAACCCCAAAAAAATTATACGGGAGATGAAATAATTTATGAATTTATTTTTGTATTTTGTCTTATTATTCTTGTAAAATTGAATATATCTGTTGTATTATGATATGAAAATGTATTGATTTTTTTGTTAAAATTAGGTTATTGATTAAAGTATAAAGAAAAATATATATATCGATTTGATATTATTGATTTTTATGATGATTTTATATATAGTTTCGCTCGCGATTTTGGTATAGATTTTTTGATATTATAGTTTTCATATATAGTTTTTTTTTTGATGTTTTTCCAAAATTGTAAAAAAAGATAATATATATTTTTGGTCTGAAATAAAAAAAAGAAAGAAAAATAAAAATTTGTCTTAAAAATTGATCACCACAGTTTGGTGCCTTTCATATTTAAAGATACCTGGCGGAACACCATTGGCTACCATTGTATAAATTAAAGACCGAAAATTATTTTAAAAAAGTTTAAAAAAAAGAAAAATTCGAGAAAAAAAAAAGGTAAAAATATTTTTTTAGATAAGTTTATATGAATTGTTTTTTTATAATATTAATAATTATAGCTATAGTTTATGTTTTTTCTTTTAGAATAGTTAAAATTTTTTAGTAAAATTACTAATAAGCTTACTATAATATAAAAAATTGAAATTAAAAAAAAAATAGTTAAAGATTTTAAAAAAAATGTGGAATAAAAAAATAATTACCACTAAAAATTATTTTGAATTAAAAGAGTTGGCACAGGGAGAGATATATGTGAGTATAGTTGTATTAATAATGTTATGGATTGGAGGATATTTATGTTATAAAAAAAATAGAAATAAAGAATTGAATAGAATAAGGTGTGTAAAGCAAATTGAACAGGAAAATAGGGAATGGAAATTAAAAAAAAGGAAAATGAAAATGATGAAATTAAAAGAATAGAACAAAAAAAGTAAAGAAATAGAAATTGAAAAATTGAAAAAAGATATGAGAGAAGAATGGGAAGCGGAAAAAAAGAAAATAGAAGAAATGGAATTAAAGAAAAGAGAGGAAAAAGAGAAAATGGAATTAAGGAGAAAGAAGGAAGAAATACTAGAAATAGAAATGGCAGAAATAAAAATAAAGGAATTGGAAGAAAAAAATGTAAATAAAAGAATAGAACAGAATTATAAAAGTAAAGAATGTTATAATTGTGGAAAATTTGGGCATTTAAGCAGAGAATGTAATGCCAAGGTAAATATAGGAGTTATACCGAAAATATGTAAAAGATGTGGAAATAAGGGTCATAATGCGGAAGAATGTTACGTTCCAGCGTACAAATTGGTAAATGGGAACCAAAAAAATGAGATATCTTGTGAAAATTGTGGGAATTTAGGACATACTAAGGATAAATGTTATAAAAGTGAACAAGGTGTTTGCAAAGCGTTTCCAGCGGTGGAATACGTAGGAAATGAGCAGAAAAATATAGTTAAAAGAATTAATAGAGAGTATATAACTTGTTATAAGTGTCGAAATATTGGGCATTATGCGAAGAATTGTACAGTAGGATGACTGTATGATAGTGAAATAAAAACATTTGGAAGAGTTACATCAAAAAATGAGTTGGATCTATTGAAAGAAGATATTTATAAAAATAAGATAAATGATCATATTGAAATAGAAAGTAAAAATGAAGGAAATAATAACACTTATGGGATTTATAAAAATATGTTGGAAAATGAAACACGAAAGAATATACATATTAGTAATTTACCTATCTTTAAGTTGGAAGATAATAAAAATTTTGATCAATATCCAAGAGTAAAAGTGAATGTAGGAAATAAAGAGATTTGGATGTTATTGGATACAGGGGCAACAATATCTGTGATGGGGTATAATGAATTTTACAAGTTATGGCCGAATGAACACATAATTAAAGATAGAATGAGGGTAAAACAATTGAATGGTTCAGAAAATATGGCATTGGGAAAAGTAAATTTACCGGTATTAATAAATAACGAATTAATAAATTTGGATTTGTGGGTATTAGAAGAAAAAATTGATACAGTTTTGGGATGGAATTGGATATCAAAATTTGGTTTAGAAAATATTTTGTTGAATATATTTCAGGGGAAAAATGAAAATAAAAATATTGAAGTATTAAAAAAATCTGTAAAAGAGGTGGATGTTAAAAACTCGGGTAATAAGTTAATGAAAGAAATTATAGAGAATAATAAAATTGAGAGTATGATAAATAATAATCAAAAAATTTTG